TTTAAAGCCCTATCAATGAGCCCTGCCTTCCCTTACAGAGATAATGTTTTGTTCCTTTTCCTCTCCATCCCAGTTTCACCCTATCACTTGCATCTTTGCTGATGACTTTCCTGGTCTGGTTGTTGGCTGTCCAGTTTGTGCCACTGAAAGGCTCCAAGTGTTTTCTTCTGTGAAAGGATTTTGAACTGAGTAGAGACATTCAAAAATCCTTTCACAGAAGAAAACAGTTATACCTGGATTTAAGTTATCTAAAACATGTAGGATCTTTGTAGGATCAAGACCTAATCTGAGGAATGATCTGTTGGAAGCTTGGTGTTACATCTTGTCTTGATAGAGCTTTTAGGCTTTTAGGGTTTAATATTTTGAAAATTGCTTAGCTTAGCAATGGATGGCAGGTACTTTAAAAGCAGAAAATATGTTTATTACTTAAACTTCAAAAATATTACTTAGATCACTGAAAAATATTATGTGAAAACAAGATTTTTTCCCATATTATTTTGTTTATGGGATCATACTGCTAAGGTTTCAGTGTTAGGGATGACAGGTTTCTGCGTTTCACAGTTTTATGAGTTTCAATGGAAAGAAGAAAAATACACTCCTTCCAGCTTTCTGCAAAAGAATTGCAAGGATACATTTGAACCATTTCTTGACTGACTTGAATGATTAGAAAGTTTGTGGCTGAAAGACTTTGGTTTCACCATTGATGATTAACAACACATTAAAAATGCACAGCAGTTTTTAAACAAAGAAATGTAGAAACCTGTCAGTTAAATCAGTCTAATGCAAGTCAAACAGAGCTCGTGATACAAAGGTTAGGACAGAAAGATACATTTTTACTTGACTTAATAAACAGGGTTATTACTGAATTGAAGTTTGGCTTTTTTTTTGTCAGAACAGAATTTTTTCCAATGTAGTTTGACAGAGCCTTCAGCTATGAGAAACTACTGACTGTAGATATTCTCTGCCAGAATGATGAATCTATTTCCAGTAAGTTAGTTGCTTCATCTTGTTGGATATACTCTTGGGAATTTATCACGTAATTCACTTAATCCAAACCAGTTGTGTACATATTTTGTAATTGATGAATTACTGACAGTAAGTAAATATTCATACAAAATCAACTATTTGTTAAAAAACAAAACAAAACTGTTTAACAATTTTCATACCAGAACTCAGCAGTCTTGTATTTACTGTCTTTTCCTATGAGTTGGAGTATCATCTAAGACTGCTGTTTACATTTATTGCAACATGCAATATACACCATCTCAGATAAGAACAGATTTATATTGCAACTCTATGTCGAATACTTTTATCAACACAGTGAGTAATACCAGATCACTAGTCCTTGAAATAACGTGTCGTTAAATTCCTGAAGATGAAACAGCTATTCTTCCATCAAATTCTGCTCTACATTTAAATGAAACGCCTTGGTTAAGTAATGTCTTAGAAGACTGGGTGTTACTTCCTTTAGCTCTGATTGTAGTTGGCAGGCATTGTATGTTCTCGGTGTATTACCAAAACAGAACGTCTATCTGCAGCATACTCCCTGTCTTTTCTTCATAAATGGAGGTAACTTTGGTGCATTGGGCGTATTTTGGTGTGTTGTTTGCATTTGATTAATTGAGTCTTACTGCTTTTGTGTGTGCATATATCTTATTCCTACTACTGAGTATATGTGATCAATGCACTGAACTGTTGGCTTCTGTTCTGTGAGTATTAATCAAAGAATATGCTCCTTTGCTTAATGGCTTTGCAGTGTAGGAGGCAGCCAAACAACTTACACTATAGCCTGCTTTTTTTACTCTTTAATCATTATTGTGTAAGACACTGGCAAGAACACTTTTTTAATCTTTAAACACTGTTTCATGCTTAAACATATCCATTGTTTGGTCAAAGTTATGAAATATTGTTGCTCAATTAAATTTTGTTTTCAACATTTCCTGGTAAAAGCAGTAATAGCTAAAACAGTAAAGGAAGGGGAGAGAATTAAGCAGAAAAAAATGCTGGGCATACCAAGCAAGGAAGAAGCAGAAGATGTGGTGTCAGTAAATTCAGACTCGTGTGGTTTCAGGTCTTATGATTTGGGTAAATAGTTTTCTTAAATCAGAAGCGAAAACTGATGCTTTTCTAGATTTCATTACTATGATGAAAGGGATAATTTTATGACTAAACTATTCTTAGAGAGACTCAGGGTAGACATGTTCTGATGTACACTTAAAATGTGTGTAAGAATAGACACTGATTGGGGTGTGACAGCTTTTTTGGTTGAGAAATTAAGAGACATGTTCTGTATTTAAAAAAAAAATGCCAGTAAGTGTTTATTTGTGCTGATGGTGGTACAGCTTCACATCAGAAGCAGCAAGCTTCTTGAAAATACAGCTAATGTTTTTATGGCATGTAGTTCTGATATAAAGCTTGATAGCTACAGCTTGAGTCGTTCTCTCTGAATCTCACCAGTGAGGCAGCCAAGGCTAATTGGAAGGCTTAGGCTTCAAGGTTTGTTGTATTTTACGAGGGGTTTTGTTTTAGCTTCCTCAAGGCCTTTCATAAAAATGTCCTGGAGTAGTTGCATTCTTTAAATTATGCTGTTAACAAAATTTTCCCCCTGGCTTAACTGTACAACTAGCAGAATTAGCAGAACTTATTTAAAAAGGGGTTCCTCTTGCTGTTCCTTATTGCCCTTGACCATTAGGACAATCTTGCTAAAATCCTCACAGAGCAGTAGGACCACAGAAAATATCACATTATTTGTATTTACATATGTGATTCTACAAATTTTATCTTAAGTGTTGTGAATGCAAGCATTTTTTTAATTCCTCCAGTTTCAGCCCAGAAAATACGTATCAGGTTTTGTTATAAACTGTGACTTTAAAATATTCTAGACAGGCATAAGGCAGAAATCCTCTGTACCTTGGGCATTTTTTTATGATGTAATGTGTTCAATGACAGGTCTGTTTTTGTGGATAGGAATACAGTAGTACTGAAGCTTGCTATGAAGAAAAAACAGTAGTTGAAAACTGAATCAAATCACAAAAACTGTGTTGCTTCCAGTCATTTTATTTGTCTCAGAGACAAATAAGAGAAGTGAATGGCTTCAATAAAATACTAGCTTAGTCCAGCATTAGCTATGGAAGTTAATCTATTTTTGTTATTTGAACACACATATATACAGTGTTGTACCACTTCCTTTTAAATACCTCCTATAAATATTCCTCTTGCATACATACATATCTTTATATATGAATAAATTAGCATGCTCTGACAGAAATAGCTATTGAGAAATAAATTTTTACTTACAGGCTTTCTATATCAATTGAATATTTGTTCAGATCCATGTCAAAACAGTAGACCATGTATATTTTCAAAATCCTTTCCATGAGATAAAGGCCATCTCCACTGTTATAATTCATACACATGTCTGCTTCTGTGATTTGGGTCTACTTCTTCAGTTTTGATAATGATTATTCCCACATTCTTGTTGTTTATGAATTCTGGAAAGTTAATTGTTTGTCCGACTAAGCAATCTTCACATGTCTGGTTAATGTAGTTACTGTTTATTTACCTTCTGAAAATGCTGATCTGCCAAAGAAGTTTTAAATGAAAGAAGTTTTTAAAAGAAAAGCTAACCAAAGTTAGGTGCCTTTCTCTGCTTATTCATATCTGCCATTATCCTTCCGTCGTTTTTTTAATTAAGCTTTAAGATTTCAACAATAATATGGAAGTAAGAAGGCATAGAACAGTGACTTTTTAAAGACTTTGTCTAGTGATTTTAGCATGGACTACAGTCATCTTAGAATATATATTGGTTTTGAGTGTAGTTCTTAAAAAAGTATTCATATTGTGGTGATTAATGTCATAAAAATATACAAATTGTGAAAAAAGAAGCAGAGTTTTTTGATATGGTAATCCCTGACAAGCAGTTTTCCTTCAGCTTTTGACTGATACGAATGATGTTACTTGTCTGTTATCAGACAAAATCTCTATTTATATTACCTCTTTTCAGTTACTTACATGTTTTTCTAAGAAACAGCAATTGATTTAATTTATATGTAGTTTCAAAACTGAAGAAGGCATTTAGGAATGCCTTTGTATGGTAGTTTAATTTCTGTATGTTCATATAATTGTTTATGGAATTAAGAATTAAAGTACTTGAACAAGGCATCTACCTTTGCAGTATAAACGGATTGGGAAACTAATACTTGCATTTCCTTTTCTCCAAACTTTAGGGGGGACGCAGAGATTACCTCGTACAATTGGAGTGTCTTTGGCAAAAGAACTAATCTTCTCTGCACGTGTTGTAGATGGTGAGGAAGCAAAGTCAATAGGATTGATTAGCCATGTGGTAGAACAGAATGAAGCAGGGGATGCTGCTTACAGAAGAGCATTAGCTCTGGCGAGAGAATTTTTACCTCAGGTAAACCTAATTATTTTGATTTTAGTTTTTACCAAACATTAAAACTGAAAAACGACTGACTGTATTAAGAACTCCTATAAAGATATGAATTAAAGATATGAATTAAAAAGTCACTCTAGTTACGTGGAGAGCAATCAGAAGTTTTTGCTCTCGTGTATTGAGTGGTATTACTTGGTAACTATTTCACAGTGAAAAAACGCTGTCAATCCTCATATCATTGTGATATGGTCTATGTTTATATTGCATATCTTGAGTTTTGGCTTTTTTGATTTGTGCTTTTGAGTTTTAAACAAAGAAAATAGTGTATGGGTTGGTTATTTTTCAGTAAAGCAATTATCTCAGCAGGTTATTCTTTTGCTGTTTAACACTTCAGAAGACAGGCAAAAAGGTCCATATGAAAGTGGACATATCTCAGTGTAAATCCTTTTTTGAAAACATAAGCTAAATGTAATTTCAGTATTAAAGCAAAACCCATTTACTAGTTTGCTTTCTGTCTTCTGTGTATAAGCTTGATGAAAGAATCATGCTCTTATCATTCATTCTAAGTGACATACTACCTCTGTCTTTCATAGAATAATAGAAATTGGATTTTCTAAATTCCTGTGCTCAATTTTCTGTAGAACTAGAAAATTTTAGTAAGAAGCTTTAAGTATGACGCTTAGAGGAGTCTTTTGTGTTAAGTGATGTTACCTATTCCTCTCTTGCTATGGACTGCAAGCTGTTTGTTCTGAGTAGGAATGTGAGTTTAGCATGTTTGACAAACCTGCTTTTCAAGTGAAGGATCTCAGATAGCAAATTCATAGGAAGCAGAGGAAGAGAATAATTAAAAAATTGTTTAATAGAATCAAAAGTGTAACAGCTAACATTTTTCATTGAAAATGGAAAATGTTACAGGTAAAATATGGCATTTAGCATGGGTTAATTGTGTCTTGAACACACTCACAGAAAGACAAACATGAAAAATATAATGAAAAATTTAACATATAGTGATTATGAAGGTTGATTTATAGTTGCAACTTCACACTGGAACCAGCTCAAATACATTTGACTTTTCACAAAGCAGCAGACCACGTCTCTAAAGCAGTGTCTGAACATTCAGAAGCTGATTTTGATGGATAGGCACAGGACTGAGAAGATTTCCAAAGATGTTAGTAATTAAGAACATGATATACTTTCACTTTTTCTCAGTATTGGAACTACCAGTTTGGAAGCAAATGTCCTCAATAGCGATATAATTTAGGATACTTAACCTGTTTACTGTATAGATTTATTAAAAATACAAAGTGTTGAAGATACCAGTATAAGAATATTGATGTGCAGACTCTTCACTGCATAATCTTTCAGATTTTGATCATATGTAAACAAGCTTTTTCTTTCATTTTAGGGACCAGTAGCAATGAGAGTTGCAAAGCTGGCAATCAATCAGGGGATGGAGGTAAGGATCTGTACTTTATGTAAAAGTAAGCAGAAGCCAGGTTGGAAACAGGTCTACTGTGGTGATTTTTTTGTTTGTTTGTTTTTGGACTGCTTTTAGTTTCTCAGCATACAGTCTTTCAAAATCTGATTTCCATAACAAGGCTTTGTAACCTCATGTCTGTCCAGGAGTAATGCACTCTGCTAATTATTAATACTAGAAAATAAACATAAACTACTGTGAACAAGTTATATTTCAAATGCTGGGCAGAAAAAAAAACTCAAAGTCATGTTCCTGTCAAGTCTGTCAATGCTCTCTGTGTGTAGTAACTAACAAAAGCCAAAAGGCATGTTATTTATTTTTAATAGTTTAATAGAGGTTAGTGTCAAAATTATATCTGCAGTCTGACTTCATATTTTATTCTGTTTGCCACTCTTTCTTGAATACTCTTGACCTATCTCTAAATCTTGTTAAAATCCAGTCGTGAACACATCTAGACATGTGTTTTACTTTAGGTTTGTGAATTGTCTTGCTGAGACAACTTTTATTTCAACCTGGGACAAGGGAAAGGGGTTCGTATTGCATGCAGTATCCAAATCCAAGAAGATGAGTTTAAGAATGATCCTTTTTTTCTTAAATTCTCAAAAACCAGTGATACAACTGAGTTCAGCAAAGCATACCACCAGTAAGTTTCAAACTGAGAACCAAACTCAGATGCTGTTGTGCAAAGAGTAAGTTTGTTAGATTTCCATGGCAAGGGATAAAGGAATACAAGATTTATTTCAGAGACACCCAAGGTTCAAAAAATGGTACAAGCTAAATTATCTACAAGGTATAGTGGACTGAAAAGTCAAAATCATGATCTTTATAGAATTAGAGACAATAAGGTTAGAAAGACTCTGAATGATATAGTTCAGTATCAAGGCCCCAAGACAAGATCTACTGTATCAAAACAAATCAAGGTGTTGTTACAAACTGTCCATGGCAGAGATTTCAAAGTTTCCTTTGGTAATCTATCCTATAGCTTATCTCCCCTTGACAAATTGCTTGTGGTGCATGGCCACTGTCCTTTAAGTGGCCATGCAGAAAGCAGGTAAGTTCTGTAGCAGCTCATGCTTAAGACAGGTGGAGAAGTAGTGAAGGGAATATTCGCCTTTTCAGCTGTTCAGACCAGCTCATAAAGGAGAAAATGTTACTACACTAGGTGATGATTCAGGATGGTCATTGGCCTCTTGTTTTTTTTTTTTTTTTAAATTTTAAATCCTTTAAAATTGAATTTATGTTTATTTTGTGGCACAACATCATGTTCTTATATGACATTTTGAAAGTAACTTGTTTCAGAATAATTTTTAAATAATCATGCAGTACATTAAATCTTTCCCCTGTAGTAAATAAAATTATTACAAATGTGCAAGTGCCTAATGGGGTTTAGTCTATATGATTGTAGTGAAAAACATAACATAGTTTTGACAGTGTATTACATAATAATGTATTGTCAAATAAGGAAACTGTTACAGAAATACTAACTACTCTCACCAAATGGCAGTGTAGCATTTCTGTGTGAAAGTAGCAAAGAACTTTGCAGCGGTGTTGTAGTATGTGGCATATAGAAACACAGTTTTTAAGTTACCTGCCAGGAAATAATCTATGATAAATGTACAAAAATAAGCTTTTAAAAAAACATTGTATTCTTTTCCTCAGGTTGACTTAGTAACAGGTTTAGCAATTGAAGAAGCTTGTTATGCTCAGGTATGTAGCTGTGATTACATGAAAAACCCCAGAAAACAGACTTTGGTGGTGCCTGTTATGAAACATGCAGAAATGCAGCTAGAAATTGCTCTGTAATTTCTTCTACAAATATTTTGGCATTGTATTTAGACCTCCCTTCTACTTATTCTGTTTTTGTAAGTAATTTAAGGAAGGATTTATAGTATAGTACAAAAACGTCTCTCTGCTAAAACTGTTAGGGTGGAGGTAGTGAAGTACTACCAGCCCCCTACCTAACCAGTCATATACTGTTGTGCATCTAGTCCAAGAACTGCCTTGGTTTTGCTTTGTTTTGTTTTAACATGAAATGTTAGTGAAGTGGCCTTCATGTTGTGTGCTTCTGATGGCATATATGCTAACCAACAGAAAATGGAGACAAGGCAGCAAAACATGGGAATGAAATATTTGAGCTTGTATGTTCTTGGACTTCAAGACAAGTTTTTGCAATAGAAGCATCAGCATTAGATGCTTATTTAAAACCTATGGTGATCTGATTAATAACCTACTGCCCACTATGTCCCCATTGTCCCCCCAACCAAGAAATGCAAAACAAAATGGGGAAAAAAAAAAAAAAAGTGGTATTATATGTTGCATGTTTGATATTTTGAAGAGCTAGGATTTGTATGAAAATACTTCTCTTGGTATTTCTTTTTTGTGTCAGTAATGAATTGTTACTCTGGTCATTGCAGACTATTCCAACAAAAGATAGAATTGAAGGTCTTCTTGCGTTTAAGGAGAAAAGACCTCCTCGCTACAAGGGAGAATAAAAGAAACTGATGCCTTTAAAATACAGTGGGATAAAAGTACTGCTGTGAGGACCATTAAGGTGCACTTTGCATCCGCACATGGAATATCATAACCACCAAAGTAAAAGCAAATCAGACTGATGTTACAACATTTTGAATGTGTCCGTATTTGTACTGGGCCTAGATAGAAGTGTGCGTCAACTCATGCTCATTATAGTTTCTGAAGGTTGATCTCTGTCTTGGCAAGGTCACAGGTTCATGCATCATTTTTAAACTTTTATGCATTGAAACATACTGCTACTCAACTTAAAAGCTCTGTAAATTCTTTATATAGACAAACTGTATATGTAATGTTAAGTGTAAATCTGCTGTGTCATTTTATCAAAACAAAAGCGACTACTGAACACCAAAAATAAAAACTTGTACCAAATATGCATTAGAATGATTCTATATATCATTAAAAATTATATTTGCATATTTTACCTGAATATGTATATTATTAATAAAGCTAGGGGAAATGAAAAGGGTTATTGTTTGGAAAATGTTAAGCTTCATTATTCTACTTACACTATTCTAAGTAAAATGAAATTAATTTAGCACATAATGGCATCCTTTTGATGAAGTCATTGCCATTATATTAATTTAATTGTATTAAATTAAGACATTTTGAGGCCAGTGTTTAATTATACATTCTTGTATGTTAAACCTGGCTTTGTCTTGCCTTCTTCCAACATATCATTTGATGAGCACTGTCTGCTGTGAAGGAACTTTATTTCACTTGCCTTAGTTGCTTTAAATTTTTGATGATGCTATTAAAGATTATTGTGCAACGATGCAACTACTGTGCTATAAAGAAACCAGAATTCTCTTAATCTCCAGAATATTGCTTTTGCAGGTCCTAGTAATATATATTTACACACAATGGGGATGATACTGAAATGTTCTTTATTCTTTGGTGGCCTCAGGGTTCTTTTCATACATTGAAAGAGAAATTCAGTAGGTTACGAGGTGAGAAAATTGTTGTGATTGAAACAGTATATTTGCTGTGGACATGGCATATACAGCAAATGCGTGGAAATAACCTCTTGGAAAGTGTTTTTGTTAACTTGACTGGAAAATAAACATGGTTTAGCAGTCAAAGTCTGTCTTTTTATATTAAAATGTATTTCTTGGTGTTTGGTTACCATTGGCTCACAAAACTTGTGCATGCTCTGTTGTTTCTGCAACATTAACTGTGGTCACTGTCCATTTCTGTGATGATAAAGCAGCTGATCAACATGAAATGACAAGAGCTCATTTAAATTCATATTTAGACATATCATTACATGTAGATTGATTGTAACTGGTAGAGCATGCACTTTGTTGACTGATAGACTTGCTGAGTTGATCACTTCATGCACAATAATTTGCAAATAAAGTACCGGTGCTTCTTTTTATGGCCATATAAAGCCTAGAGGGTAATGTTCTTGTGTTTTTTGAAATGCCAACACGTCATTTTTGGTTTTACTGGGTAGGAGATAATTATGTTAATAGAAGAAAAAAAGTATTAAGTGTATGCTGATGGTTTTCTGTTTTGTAACTTTGGTATACAGTCTGGTTATTGAACTGCCTCTGTTTTTCTTAACAAGCACTGATTAAGTAGCCTCTGTGAATGTCTATTAAAAAAAAAACTAGTAATTTTAAGTACTGTGGCATAAGACTGCGTAGATTTGTGCCGTCAACTAGTAGTTTTGATCTCAGAAAATAATTTTGGTGTCACAGTGGTTTCTTCATTCCTTTCCTCAGGAGAAGATACTCTCATATTGTAGCAATTTGAGTCCCTTCTTTGAAGTCAACAGTTGGAATATTATTACAAAGTGAGTACCAGTAGGACAATTTTTAAAGATACTTTCTAGTGATGCTGAAATAATTCTAAAAGGAAAATATTTTAGTAAAAGATGTGTTAAACACTGTCTCTGTTGCTAAGTGACATGTTATTATGGATGCAGTGGTCATGATTAATAACAATATTAGAATTCTGCTTCCATGAGAGGGTGATTTGTAACATAAATGCTCTCAAAAATATTGACTTTTACTCACAAAAGTTATGATCTGGCAAATCCTTGTTCAAGTACTTAGGCTCAGCTCTTTCAGTTCCTAGTAGAGCCATGGTTTTCTCCACAATACCTCATGGGTGAGTGACCGTGGTCACACTGTTTTCCTGAAAGGTTATCACATGGTCCCTAGGCATAAGCAGCTTCTTCTCCTGCCTTGAGCCAAGCTGAAGTGGATAGTGAGTTCCTCATTTCTCCACTGAGTTGGATATTGAAAAATTATAATACAGGTAGGTCCATTACCTTCACCTGAAAACAGTGTAAGTGCAGGTTCAACTTAGTAGATTGCATAAAATTCTCAGTTTCATGCAGAAATTAAAGCATGGCTTTGTACAAACTATATAATTTTAGCATTTAATCTATGAAAGGATTAGTGTTTTCTCTTCAATATTGAAGTTACATTTTTTACTGGTTTTACTAGATTTCTGGGCAAATTTTCAGAATTCCCCAAATGGCTTAAGTCAGTTCAGTGCTTTTGAATGTCTCACCTGCTATGAAGAAATATGGTGTGTTATTTATTCTAAGGTTGTATAATGATACAGTTAAGAGCATTTGGAGGATGGTCTTCTGTGGAACATTTCTGTGAGATTTGCAGAGCCATCTTGCCAAATTGTTTAAATTCTGTCAGTCTACATGCCGTTATTCATAGTCCTGCTCCAAGGTTCATATTAATGCTTTTCTGGAACTACATTCAGAATAGTAAACATCAGGATGTATCATTTGCAGCTGTTTCATATTTTCCCCAGTCATTGCTTTTTAATGCGTTTAACTATAATCAGATTTGTTGAAAACAACAGAAAATTAACTGGTCTCTCCAACACAGGAGAGGGCAGAATATCATGTTACTCAGAATCTGGTTTTGGGATTTTTGGGGAATAAAGTAAGGGGTTTGGTACTAGTGTCACTTCACATACCAACAACAGCTCAGAGGTGCAACGTGAAAAGAGGAATTGAAACATCTTAATATAGCACCAACTTAGTTTTTGTTTCATTGCCTTTCCATGCAAGCAAATCCCTGAAAAGGTGGCTACTGAGATTAGGGAGAGGGTTTATTTACAATTGAAGTATAATTGAATCCCATTGTTATTTTTCGTGCTGTACATTGAAAAAGATGTGCTTTCATATCTCATCTGTGGGATTTTAGCTTTGTTCTTGCACCTAATGACACTGCTTGAAAAGCCATAGGGCTTCACTGTGCAGTGGGGCTGATACAGTTGGTGTACTCAAGGTGTGATAATGATCATGAGGATGTGCTTGTTTTAAGATGTTCTTTTTCTGCATACTTTTAGAAAGACAACTGTTTCCAAATACAAGAAAAAGGAGAGTAATTGCAAAAAGATAATCCAAAAGGAGAGATGTGTTCAGCTAAAGGTAATGAAATTCCTCTTGTGTATTTTGAGAGATTACAATGACTACTTTTTCTGTTTGCACCTTTTCTTTCTGTTGGCTTTTGTTTTCTCTGAGTCTGGTGCTTGGACACCAAGGTGCAGGGAACACCTGTAAGAATTTCTATGGGTTGTTTTCACTTTCAGAAGATAGATTTTTTATGAGCAAAGTTAGGAAAGTTTTTTAAATTCTCCTAAAAGGTTTTTTGAAAGATGTAATCAGAAATCATCTTTGAGTTATCACCAAAGATAGGGTAATATTCCTTTTCTTTTTAATTATAGATTTAAATCATATTCAATTTTAACCTTGAAATGATCAATGAGGGGCATGCAACTGACGTCATTTACCTGGACCTG